GTAAAATTAGAATTATCATCAGTATTTGTAAGATCTTCAGAATTACATAGATCCCCTGTATTTTCAGAATTCTGGATTACGAGATCATCATACTGCATCATCTACGTGATTTCATTATGACTGGTCAATTGCTCTATTGATAGCGCTGTGAATATATTTTAATAATCCTTCACACAGCTGTCAGTCTTCTTAAAGATTTACTTATCTTACCTCAGATGACAATAACTGATATAGAAAGTTCTGACTATATAAATTATGCAATCAAAAAAATCATAGATAGTTTATATGAAGAAATAATTTACATAACTGAAGGAAAACAAAATCAACTAGGTAAAGACGTGACTCAAAATCTTATGTAATATAAAAGTTCATACATATAATTTTATTTTTCGTTTTATACATGTGCTAACTGACATTATTGATATAGATGGACTTAAATATGTTTAAGAAAAAATGAAAGTTTGATGAGACATTTGGTTCTAAGTATGAATATGTCTATAGTATCATCATAACAGATGAGAAAATAACTCTAGTAAAAGTTTCTGTTTCACTTTTGCATCACTAACCCGTTTTACAATTTCTTAGCCATAGACTGGTATTTTATCCTATATAGTACTAAAGGTATCTATTGTACAAATAAGACTGAGTATTGAATCTCACTAATGGAAGATAATATCAAAAATCTAACTGAATTAAACAAAAATATTAAGAGAGTTTTGAAAGTTATAGTGGGTTTGTTAAAAGATAAGGTATCAGCTAGTAAAGAACTCATAAATAAGAAGCGCTGTATAGAAGAGATAATTAAGAAAATATAATTATATAGTTATTAGCATAGAAAATTTGTTATATATCATTTCAGAATAGCTACATCCTGAACCTTTGTATTTATTTTTTGCATGTATTAATAAAAAAAAATTGAATTTTGCAGATATATAATAAGTGAAAAAATATTTAGTTATAGAACTACTATTCCAGAGCTATAAACAATTTATTTATATCATAATCACGTCTTAGCAAAATGCTTATGCTAGAGCTAATATATGTTCTGGCTCTAAAACACTAGTCTTGATAAATGCATCATATAATGCATCTAGTTTATACTTCAAAGGAGTTAAATTTGAATGATGAAGAAATTTCATAAGCATTTTATTCTTTCGAGTTTTCATCTCTTCTTGCTCCCAAATTATTTCTATTAATGTAATCAAAATTATTAATGGAATAGTTCATTTGAATTAGATTTTAGAGCAAAGATCATTTATTTTTTTCTAGAGTAAATAGACTCATTCCTCCTATAACAGTAGATTTCACATTAATAATAAATTTTTCACGAATATCTGCTCTAATTGCTAAGACAGATAAAGGTAGAATTAAGATTAGATAGTAGAAGTCAGATAGGAGATCTAATTCAAATTCATAGACGTATGTGATCCTAATATCTTCTAAATAATCTGAAAGTCTATTAGCATATCTGTAACCTTCATAAATTAACTTCTGAAATAGCTTTCCATTTGGATTGATCTATTAGCCTGTTAAAATATTAAGTACTGTTTTTTGCATATTCATAGAAATGAAGTAGTATGATGTGATATATATTTTTCGTTTATGATATACTTTTTTTATCCAAGTTCAATTCAGATTTTTCATTTTGAAATGCGAATTTTATAATGAGAAAGATGCAAGAATATAATAAATAGATTGTCTTACCTACTCACATATTAGAAAAGATGGGAGAATTTGTGACTAAATCTGCACCTATTTGATGGGATGCTCACTCTACTGAAAATCAGATATAAATAATATGCTAAAATCTTTATGTAGAATATACGATAAACTTACACTATTTTATATAGGCTATTGTTTCAAGCATGCCAAAAAAATTTATCATCGCCTTGAAAAAGAGGGATAACAAATAAGTTTGTCATAATGATGATGCCTACTTGTATGATGGTCATTTACTTTAGTAAATCCCTATTAATAAAAAATTTTCTTGACATTTTCTGAGATGGCCTGTCCCAGAAATTTTTTGATATTTTCAGAATATTGAACAATTCCTTTTATATATAAATTATTGATCATGTTAGTTAATGAAGCTAATCTATCTAAGCTTAAAGTATTGAGATAACATATCATTAATCTAGAGGCTAAGAACTTTAAGATTAAGGTCAAGAAAGTTAAACTTGAAATTAGAGATGCTGAACAACTAAAGCAAATTATAGATAATAATGCTAAGCTTAAGATCAGAATCAAGGAGCTGGAAAAAAATAATGAAGTTACCACTAAACTTGAATCTGAAAATGCTAAGCTTAAAGCTAAAGTTGCGAAACTAGAGAAGGATTATAGGCTGATGTAAAATGATAATACTACTATAGAAACTGGTCCTTCTAACAATTATTTATCTAACTTCAATTCTAATACATCATTACCCAAAGAATTGATACCAGAAGTTTTACCTGCCAGCTCTAAGTTATCAAAGGAAATAAAAATAGATGCTTTTTTGGACAAGATGTATAAGAAAAAGATTAGTGATAAGATTAGACAATGCAATAGAAAGAAGAAACTTTAAGCTTAAGAGTCTCTTTCAATACTTCCTAAAGAAAAAAGGCTTAAGTTCTTGACTTGAATATTCAGCCATGTAATAGTTCAACATCTGAAGTCAGTGAAAACATCAACCTAGGTTACCCTATCTTTGATCTAGTGATCTATAATCAAAAGAAAGTTTCTGAGGGTAGCAGATCATATAAGAAAAAGGAATGGATAAACTTAAACATAAATTATTTAACTCTTCTTTGAAATCAGAAATTTCATTATCGATAAATCATAATAATGTGACTGAAATTTTTGAGACAGCCTGTTCTAGAAAAGTTATCTATGACAACATTGATGAAGTCTTACAACATTTAGCTCAATTATGTGACAAAACCATCAATGCTGAAGATAAGGCAAATCAAGCTAATCAAGAAAAATTTTATGTTGATGCCTCTATTGGAAGGATTTCAAAGATCAGCTTAATAAGATTATCAGAAGTAATAATGGTAAATTTGATAAAAAGAAGATGAGAAGTATGTTTTATGACACTATTATAGAATAGCTTTCTATCCTTCACAAGAAAAGATCACAAGAATTAGGGCTAAAAATTAGAGATATATTATGAGATAGCTTGCGTAAAAAAACTCAAAGAGCTGAAAAAAACTATAAATTATTTGAAAAAGTAGGTCTAAATTAAAGATGACATTACAACATTGTGACGTTTATTTATCACCTGTTATAACTTAAATTTTAATAATGTTGCAATTTGTTGCAACATTGTGATGCTTATGTGTCACCTGTTGTAACTAATTGAAGTGTCATCTTTAGTCTAGATAAGATCAAGTATATTAATTCATATAGTGCAAATTTCATTTCAAAGCTTACTAATGCACAATTTTAAGAGATCATAGATTATGATATATCTTTAGAAAAGTTATTTCCAAAAGCTGATCATGTGACTAAAATTTCTGAGACGGCCTATCCTGAAAAAATCTTATTTAAAATAAATGCAAATTTTTGTGATAGTAAGGTGATAATCGTAAGTATATCATCTGCATTCTAATCTAAGCCAACCCATGACTGATCCTATTTCTGCAACAAAACATTAGATCAATATCTAAACTTATATAGAGAATTCAGTAGTGAAAATTTTGATTTTTATAGAATTACTAACGAGAAATTATGTCTATTATATAAGTTAAAGCATATTGATGAAAAAAGCATAGAAGGTATATATAAAGCTAGATCTTATTTTATTAAATGCGAACAGTGTGAAATTGAGATAACTGCATAGTCAGGTCACTTTTGATATTTTTTTTTATACATGTCAACTATTACCTAATTAGATTGATTAATTTGCAATTATAGAAAAAGGCAATATGATCAAGTCTGATAAAATATTAATTCCTGAATATCTGAATTGGCATGTCAAATTAACTGGTTTGCCAAGTATTTTGATAGATAAGATTCATTCTAATTTATACAAAAAATATAAAAGAGAAATAGAACTTGAGCTATGGCAATTATCAGAAGGTTCTCTTTTCATAAATCTGAAGCCAGAAAATAAAGTATCTAAATTATCTTTTTCTGAGTAATGTGAAGAAAAAGGATCTATCACCTTCGAAATCAAACCAAATCCAGAATTAATTATCAAATCTGTCTTAGAGTACTTCCTATACTTGAAATTTCAAAATAGTTTTAAAGGAATTAATAATTATGATTTTATATCACCTCAGTCGTAGAGCTCACCATACTCTATTAGTGATGAAAAACATGGGAATTATAGATTACATGGCTTATAGTACTGTGAAAATGAGAATCAGTTCCCTTATGATTCTGAGTTAGTGAAATTGTATTTCCAAGATAAGTTAAAATATTATCTTACCTGCAACACTTTAAGCAATAAACTCAAGTTCGTGATTGTAACTTAGACTGGTCATATGAAATTGATCATTAAATATCAAGACTATGTGATAGAAGATTTTTTTTCAAATACATATCTTCTGAATAAGCAGTAGAAAAGGTGCTGGCGAAAAAAATATTGGAGAGAAAACTTTCAGACAAGACATTTATACAGTTAAGATGGATTTACTTTTAATTATGTTATACATTTGTAAGGAAGTAACAAGCTAATAGACAATTTTTTCATTTAGGATTTTGAAAATTATATTGTATAATGTTTCGCTTATATGAAATTTTTTTATCATTTTAGTTTGAAGTAGTGTCATCATATAACCTGTATTATGTATTTTTTCAATAAAGCAAAGACGTAATAAAGGTCAAATTTGTCAGTTATAGGGTTGTAAGAAGCATGTATGCTAATATTTTTTTAATCAAGTTTTATTATAATGAAATCATTGATCTAAAACAAATGCGTAGTAATATTATTACAGGTATCACAGAAATAAGTAATTGCGTAAAATAATTTATTCTCAAACTTTCTCGTATATTCTCAAAATTATGTATAGCCCCTTGATGATCTTTATATATAGATAGTGTTAAATTCTTTATAAGGGATGTCATTGATCATATTTTCATGATGTGATCATATTAACATAATTTTTTCCTAAAAATATATAACAAAATTGATCCAGCAAATTATATAAAAAGGTGATGTTTCTGTTAATAAGCCCTTTTATCAACCTTAAGCAAATATAAGTGAAAAAAAAATCAAACAAAAATTCTAATAAAATTTCAAACCTACATCATTGATATTAATAATCAGACAAACTTGTATATTTTGCAAAGTTATAATAATATATATTAGTTTTATTGCTTTGCTAGCTTTTTAAAATATGTCATCACAATGTTAATTTATTTTTCCTCCTCTATAGATGTTCTAAAATAAAATGAACATATTACTCTTCTTACTATATATCGGCATTTTGATCTTTGCCAAGAAAATCACTGACCATCATCACGCATATAATACAGTAAAAGTCTGATATAGTGCATTATCTTATATAAGCATATTCATATATAAAATTCTTTAAAACTTTGCATAGTATGATAATGCAGAAAAAATTAAGTGATAAATATCTTGTGTATGAAGTGAAATGAAATTATGTAAAAATAAATTGCAATGGTAAGTGTAAATCTTTATTATATTATTTTTTTACTTTAGTTACTAATACTTCCGTAATTATATTATAGGTTTGAAAATTTCATCTCAGTGAAGTTCTCTTGCAGGAAATAATCTATTACATAGTCTGTGTAAGTGAGAGTGATATAGATAGATGAAATTCTGTAAGTATGTGTGAGAAAATTTATTTTGAAAATCTAGAATAATAAAAAAGAGTGGGGTAAGAATCTTGTAGTTAGCAATAGTGATAGAAATAAAGTAGATGTAGAAGTTTATAAAAAACCTGAAAGAACAAAGAAATAATTTGATGCTGAGATTCACGTACTCCCTCTCTCTTTGATAGCATCATCTAGTATATTCTGATTAATAAAATTTTACAATACATCAAATAAATAAATGCTAATATTTTCATTATTTATCACATTTTATTTTTTGTACTTAATCTGGAAAAGCTGTAGACTAATAGTTCAGCTTACGTTAATATCACATTACTATAAGAGCATTCTTGTTAGACTAAGAGTCCCAACAGTTTGCTGAACTAAGAGATTATGATTGGAAACTAAGTGTTCTAGCTTGCCTGTTATTCAGATGTAATGTTAGGTAGGTACTATAAATTGTGATATATTAGGAATCAAAAACTATCTCTACTTTTAAAATAGATTTGACTCGTTACATCACATGACTTTGGTAGTTTCACCTCTAGATGCTTTTCATGTGACAAATAAAATAAAAATCATTAATCTAACTCTCAAATTCAAGAATGACTTATCTAATGATCACCTTTATGGCTTTTTATCATGCTAATAAAATCAAAGACTGGACGTGTAATAATCTAGTAGAATATTATCATGATAAATCAGATAAAAAAGATTGAAAAAAAGTATTAGATTGGATTAAAAAAGATCTCATAAGGGTGACAAGGTCCGTTGAGTTCGACATAATACGTAGAGGAAAAGCATAAGAAATCCTAGATAAATAGAAGGTAACTCATTAGATTTGATTAATTGAGAGCTAGTTTTTTACTCGATATATATACATTTATTACTAAATGTTTCTCACAAGTATAATAATTTAAATTTTTTTTTAAGAATTGAACTGCATTTTACAATAACTTTATAAGAGAGAATTGCGTTTGTGTGAATATGTGGGTAGGTTTCTTCTAGTCTGAAAATCTATGATAAAGGATAAATTAATAATTTTGTCAATTAGGTAAGAACTATAAGTACTATAAGTTAACTCAACAATCTGACCAGAAGTTCAACACAAAATTTGATAATTGTCATATAACTTCAGAAAAACGAGGTCGAGAAAAAACAAAAAAAGCCTTGACTTAATCAAAAAAGGTGAGATCATTACAATCTAATAAAATGCAAAATCATGATTTATTTATGAACATTGATTTCAAATCTCAGAAGGCGCTTTCTAGTGAAAGTTCACTAGATATTCGTAACTATTTCTTGCAGATTCTTTCTGAGCATAATGAACAAGATCAATGACCTTTAACCTATGAAAATAGAATTTATTCATCAGGTATATTAGATGCTTCTGTGACATCTTAGAACTGAGAGGTATTGTATTATCATTATTATTTAATGTATAAATATATTTTTTTTTAAAGACTTTACAAACTTTATTTATATACATAAGGACAAGAGCGATAATGATGAGTCATAAGAACTTTGTAATTTAGATAGTGATTCCATATCAGATCACAAATTACCTAACAAATTATCTGAGGTAATTAATTTTTGTTTTATATTGCATAATCAATGTACTTACTTCTATCCAATTTTTAGGAAATGAAGGATTTGAACACTAGCGAATTGTCAATTCGAAATACTTTGCTTGAAATTCTTCATCAGAACTAATCCAAGAATTTGAAATTAGGCAAAACACTGATGAGATTGAATTTCTTAAATGGAATAATAGATGTGTCAGGTACTAATTTTAAGAAATTGATTCAATCAGAATTAAATAAATTGAATGAAGAACAACAGTGGTTTGATAAGGTTCTCAGTAAACAAACATGAGTTTTAACTCCTGAAATCATCCATTATTGCAATCAATTCACAGACGATATATGCAATAGTATGCAATTACCTACTTTGATACGCAAGTCCTTCGTCACAGGACGCTTTGATACCTTTGTTCATAAAGGGTATGATATCACACAGGATATTATGAAATACTTGTAAGTATTTTATTTATATAGTTAACAATTGCATTCTTCAGATAGTTATTGACATTAATACCTTAATAATAAAATAGTTTAGTGCAGTTAGAAGCACTATGCAATATATATTTAAAAGCGTCAAAATTGGAAAGAACCTATACAATTGATACGATTATATACATTATGAATAGAATTTTTTGAATGTATTTTGATATTCTCGATGGAAACTGGTAAGTACTGATTGTAAGTTCTTACTAATTTGAGTTATATTATTGATCTATTCTTGTTTTATTAATTTAGGATAGAAATATTTACTAATAATATAAAGTCCTATAAGATCGATGGTATCTTGAAAGTTTTTTAAACAAAAAAGTTTAGACAGATAATCATAATCATAGAGTTTTCACACAGTTAATACACCTCAGCAGACAAGGAAACTGACGATTAGATGAAATTGAATCACAAAATCAAGAGAATTTTAAACAAATTATTTGATAAAGTCTTATATGAGCAAGTGTATATTTATATTATTCAAAATATTAGTAAGTATTATTATAAAATATTTGTTAATATAAAGATTCTTGACTACCTACTTATCTTTTTTTTTGTAAAGATGAAAATATTAATATAAAATATATAATACAGCCTCTGCCTTTAATATACCTGTATAAAGAGTTTGTTAATATAAAAATACCTACAACTTTTGATAATATGAAAGAATTCGCCAAAAGTATATCAACCGTTATGGATTTTCAGGTAACAGATTATGATAAATATTTATAGATATTTTTTTTGCATAAAATTGATAATACTTTATTTTTACTATTATAAACTGATGTCTTGCAGACTATTAAGCTAATGAATAAGAAACCTATTGAAGACAAAAAGGTATATAAATCTGAAGTTAAAATCACGCTAAAAAAGAAGAAAGTCTATAATAACAATACCTCGCCTTCATATCCAGACTCACCTTATTCTGAATCATCTGATGAATATTTAATTTGATTTATTTCCATATATAGAAATTTTATTATCAATGTTCAGGAATGTAAAAGTTATTAGCATTTAGCTATTATCTGTAGTACTATTAGAACTGTATTTTTTAATACGTGTACTTTGTATATCAGAAAAATAATAATACATATAATAAATATATAATTGTGTTGCTTCTTTATAATGATATTTTAGAATTTTGTCCAATATAGCGTATATTTTAATTGAAAATTTTCTTAGCAAAATTTTGGCGAACGTGGTCTACCCAAAATTACGTGTTTTTATTTGAATGTTTGTATATAGTGTGTTAAAAGTTTTTTCGAAATGGAATCTAAGATTGAATTACTTAGACAGAAGAATGCCAGGCTTGTGATTAAGATTTATACTTCTCCACAGTAATCATGTATTTTTCTTCGAAATTTTGAATTCACTTTTCTAGAGTCAAGAATATGGTTTGTAAAAAGAATAAAAGACATATTCAATCTATACCATCAGTAACTTTAGCACTAACCAATGAGACTCAGACTAAAAGCCTTACAATAACAGATATGGAACTACAAGAACTTATATGTCAAAGTCTTGTAGTTGAAGTTCATGAAGTATTAGAATACGATCGAAAAAGTATGTATTTATTCATCTTTCAATTAAGCTTAAAAACTAATGTGATAATTCAAGAGAAAAGACATATCACGCCTTAATGAGAGAACACTTTAATATGAAGGCATTTCATGATGCATCCAATCAAGATAGACTCGTTTTTAAAGCAAAATATTATAGAAATAAATATAATCGCATAACTAATTTTATCATTCAAATGGGGCAAGATAAAAAAGGATGGTTAAGCTATGAATCAGTTGCGACATTATACTAAGTGATAACTATGGAAAGAGTGATAGATTTGCTTAATGATACTAAAAATAAAAGTCCTATAACATACAGTCAAATAATCATTTTCTAAATAATCATTGTGTGAAAGAAATAATCAAAAAAAATAATCGTGTATATACAGAGGGTGATCACGGGTTTCTGAACGATTTAAAAAATCGTTTACATTTATTTATTTATGTTAATAATTTTTTTA